AAGACTCCCCAGCAGAAACTCCTCCCAAAAATCCTTCAAAATTTTTATTTTCGTTTTTCATAAAATAAAGATAAAATCAACCGAAATCTAATACCTTCTACCTCAAGCTTTCACGTCGGATTCACCACTTTTGTCGTATTACGTGCTTTCCTGCTCGAGAACGCGCCGGGCGTATGGCTGTAGAAGGTAGTATGGAGATTCGCCAATAGTCAAGCAGTCTATCAATTTTTGACTGTTGGAATATAAACGATTGCAAGAATACACCATAAATATATACGGATGCCCTTCGACTGCTCGCCGAAGTCCTTTTTGTCCCAGCCGGTAGATCTCTAGACGTTACAGAGAACCCCGAACAACCCAAACTGCTAATCTTCGATACCGCTTTATACTCACGATCTTGTATCCACTGACTGTCTTGTTAGATTAACCCAATAAATTTCATTCACTCCACATACTCAATCCTATAGACATCCTTTTAACTCTTCATCACAAACGTAACTCGATTTCACAAAACAGTCAAGAGTAATCAAACTCACTTCATTAAAAATCCCGATTCACCATTACAACACTGACTTCAGCAACGATTGTCTCAGTCTTCTCAAAACCCTATGAAGAAAAAAAAAAAAAAAAACCCCAATTCTCTGTCTTCTTTCTCTGCCCGAAGCATGAAGCTAGCTCTCCCCTTCTTCCAAAAAAAACTCCCCAAAAACTTATTCTCTCCCCTAAGCTTATCCTCTGAATTTTTTCAATCTTCCGTCTTGGATCCGGAATTGGCTCTCACCATCAGAGCTTGGATCCGAAATTGGCTCTCGCCGTCAGAGCTTTCTCCCCCGTTTTTACCTTTAAGAGATCTTTTTATCGAAAACAACGTTCCCTGAAACGGCACAGAAAACAGGACAGCTTGAAATAGAATCGAAACCCCATAATCGGGACCACATTGAGTTGCCCGACCAATTCATGTCTCATATTGGCTAAGAGTCCAGTAGTAAGACCCGGATGTCCCCGTAATTGGATCAAATTGGTCCTTCGCGTCAGATTCGCTGAGGCCCGTAATAAGACCTAGATTGTCCCGTAATTAGACTACATTGGGTTGCCCGGCCAATTCAAGTCTCATATTGGATAAGAGGACCCAGATTGGATTCTTGAAATTAGATCCAATTAGCTCTTCGAACCAAGCTCACCCGTCGTGTGAATTGGTCCTTTCTCTTCCTGCTGACTCTCGTTATTGGAATCGAACGGAGCATTTTAGTATGCCCCGGCTGACTGTAACGGGGTGATTGAACCTGGCCACTCAGTATTTGCACTGGACTTGGTCGTTGCTCCCAATATTCGAGGTAACAGAACATTAATAAATGTCACCTTTCTTTATATTTTCACGGTATACTCGTGTTACAACATGACAACGTAGAAGATGAAAGCCAATAGCCAACAGATTCAACTTAAGAGTTATCATTTGCTGACTTATTAAATAAGACATTGTGATTGTCACAACCTTCAAGTTGACACAATAAAAATGAAGACCTTCAAGAATGGCATTTTCTTCCATGAATATATGGCAAAAGATAACGCATTTGATATTTTAATCTTTGAAGAGATTTTCAATGTTGGCTAATTTTATTAGACGTAAGAACTATTCTTAATAGTATTATATATGTTTTGATTGAAAAAAATTTGAAAGGCCTCAATAGTGATCAAATATTAGGGTGGTCTTTCCGTCTTAAAATGAAACATTATCAATAATTAATAAAACCTATCAACTACCTTTAAAAGAAATAAAGATTAGAATATGTAGCAAATACAATTTGTTGCTTCTTAGACTTTATTAACATGTGATTCTTGCTCCTTGTGAAACTTGTCCCTTAAAAGAGGGATAATATCATAGATTTATATATTTATTATAAAAATATTTAAATAATAAAAATAAATAAAAAATAAATAAAAATAGATTAATTTGATAATATTTTATAGAAAAGCTTTTTAAAAGCTTCATAGAAATGTTTTTATTTTTATATATGCTGATAGGTGATTAATAGATTAAATACTTAGCCAACAAGTTAGCCACGTGTTGCACGTATTGATAGCTTGTGGTATAAGCTAACTATATGGCACATGTATAGAAAACTTACCTTGCAAATTAAAATACAAGTCTTGCAAATTAGATAAGTATTATAGATCCTATAAAATGTTGCCATTTAGTTCTTATTTAGATAGTATATTTGAGAGCAAGAATAAAACTTTCTTCACTCTTGTTAATTACTTTTTTGCTTCTAGTCTAGTTTCAAGAGTCTTTAGAATTCTAGTCTTTAGCAATGGCCATTCAATTTTCTTCTTGAATATATATACTTTTTATTATTATTTTTTCATCTCTTTTTAATTCTTATTTCAACTGTTTACATATCTTCTTTGAATTCTTGTCCTTGATAATTTCTTATTATTTTTGGATCCTTCTAATCCATGATATTTTGAACATTCTCAAGATCTATTAAAAGGCTATCATTTGAAATGATGTATCCTAAGAAGTCAACATAAGTTGTATGAAATAAGTACTTTTCTATCTTGATGTATAGTATTAAATCTTTAATTTTTTGTAATATACAACAAAGATGAAATTCATGATCTTTTGTATTTTTAGAGTGGATTAAAATATTGCATATACAACAAAAAAAATAAAATCATATGTTATCTCATGTTTTTTAAATAGTATCATCTAAAAACAAATCTTCTATGAAATCTATAGCTAATTGTCTTCAAAAATATTTAAGTATGTTCTACATATAATTAGATTATTTTAAAATAAATTAATTTTTTTTTTTTTTTTAACATCATTTAAAAGAAAATAAAAAATATTTCTAGGCTAATATTCTAAAAGCATGATAAATTCATTATTGTCCCATACTTCAAATTAAATTATTAGATTGGATTCATTAAACTTATAAATAATTTTATAAGTTTTTTTTAGTCTTATTAATTGATAGAACCTTCATTTTCTAGCACTAATATTAGTAATATTCATAACTTTGGAATTAAATTATAAAAAATTATATCATAAGGATATGATTGAAAAAATATTACAATAATAAGAAGTTTTAGTCTAAAAACTTTTAGATTAGTCAAATAAAAACTAAAATTTATCATTTGGATTAATATTTTTTAAAAGACTCATAAATATCAATTATATTTTTAAAAATCTAAAAAAAGTTATATAAATATACTTAATTTATTTTTTTAATTACAATATGATATTTAATTGTCTACTTGTATAGTATAATCTTTAGATAATTATGTTGCAGTATTTATTCTAAGATTAACACTTCTTTACACTATATAGGTAGTTTAGGTAAAATAATATTAACAAAATATAAAATATCTTTTTATATTTTAAAAATAAAAATTTATCAATCACTTGTATTATAAAGTTTAATATATATATGTAAATATGTATGTATGTATGTGTATATATATATATATATATATATATATATATATATATATATATATATAATAAGATTTTTAAATATTAACAAAAAAATTATTTTTAATAGATATTATCTTCAAGTAAAATAAAAAATAAAGCATATGTGTAATACATGTTTTATATCAATTTTATCTTCTATAAGATATTTTATTTATATTATATTTAGAAATTAATCTTTAATTTTTAATATAATTATAATTATAAAATAAAATAAAAAATATTTTTAATCCTCTAATTTTTATTTTATTTAAGATATAATATTATATTTTATACATAATATTTATTTTATCTTTATTTTTTATTTTCAAAATTTCAAAATTTCAGTTATTTATTAATAAATATTATTACACAAAAGTAATAAAATATGGTACAATTATAATACTTGATAAAAGAGAAAAAATAAATTGAATTTAAGCTATAGTATATAATTTAAATTCTTTTTAAATAACGAGTATGTGTCACAAATTTAAATCTAAAAAATGATCAAAAGAAAGTTTATTTATATTTAACTCAAAAAAAAATATCAATAATAACTAAATCTTCAAAAGATGGTCCTAAAGTTGCTATTGCTATCTGCAAAAGACTAGAGAGTTTTACATTAAGACAAAAAAATGAAAAGACAATGAAAACATTAAAAATGGCCTGGTTTTCTTTTTATATATATTATCTAATAAGTAAACCATGTGGAATTTTTTAAAGTACAAAAATAAAGTGTCTCAATTGTAAAATACTTCAATACTTGCTTTTAAATGTACAAAACTTCAAGTAGAAGTTTAAATAACTACATGGTTTATCTAAAAACATACAAATATCCAATTCCATGTCTTAAAATTTTTCTTGACATTTTTGAATGTAGGTATTATTTACTTAATTTATTCCTATGTGTTTAAATAATCTATTTTTTATATTAATATTTATTAAGAAAGAAAAAAAATTCTTCTATTTCTACTAATTATTAAAAAACATTAAAATAATACATAATACTTTTATCAAATTTCTCTTATTTATTAGAGCTAATATTAAACTTTGATTAAGATTATTAAAATAAAAGTTTTGATTTTTGTAAGGATTACATGTATTGTGATATTAAGTACAATATACATTAAATGTTGTAGATGTGCATGTATTGTTTATTTATAAATTACTACCTCATGATTTCTATGATAAATATCAAAGTCATATTAATGACCTTAATATCTATGGTAACAACAATTCTAGATTAAAAACTTATGTATCAATTTTTGTCTTACCAAAAAGATTTTAATGTCAAACAAAATATAAATTTAATTTTTTAAAGATTTAATGTTGTAATGCCTATGCATGAAAATCTTGAAAATACATTCTAATATTTGTAGCCGATGCGACTTTCTTGTAGAAAACCACACCGATCCCTAACAAGTACTTCTTTGGGATGCCACGTGGATGATGCCACATAGATGATGACACGTAGCCCGCTAGGGAATTATGCCCGGGAAGAAACGAGGAAGCAGAGCCTGAAGACCCTGCATGGCAGAAAGCTTGAACGAACAACAGCGTGGCCTTTTGTTTGTAGTCGCCGTGTGTGATCCACTTGTAATTGTGATTGCTGGAGATCGTCATTGTGAGTGTTTTTTCAGTTGCAGTAAAGCGTGAGAGGAGTCTGAAGAGTTGGAGTTCAACGCTGGTAGGCTATGGTGAGCGGGTGTCTTGCTGTAACAGAATGTTGGTATTTTGCTTTGTTATGTTGTGTTGTGTTTTGCTGTCTTTAGAAGCGTGGGCATCCAATTATGGAGAAGTGCAACACGTCTGGTGACATTTGCTATGCTCTGGATGTTACAGAATTATCAGAATCTGAAATTTTGTGGGTTCGCTTTCTCCAGTGGACTCGAAATCTGAACAGAGAAGATCAGCGTGAAATTTTATAGAGTGATTTGGGTTGGCACAGATAAACTAGACGATGCCAAGTATGGTCGCTTGTAAAGTAACGAAAACATGAGGAGAAGAATTACACTTGCTCGTTAGACTGATGAAATACTAAATGGCCGCTCAAACCATCTTAACCGATATTCAATTTTGTGTCATCTATTAGGAGATGTGTCTCTCTGTGTGCATATGTGTGTGGCCGTGTGTGTTACTTTTTCCTACTTCTGGCGAGACGTTTGTTGATGAATCGAGCGAGACCGAGAGTTCATAACATCGGACCCAAATGCTACACTGTGTGCTCAGGAATGCAAACGCAAAGAGATGTAATGCACGGGAAGAGTGCAAAGCCTCTGCAACTCACTATGCGTCTTTTGGCTCCGAATGTCTTTAGAGGAGCTCCCCATTTACAAGTTATTTGTTAAATATGGCAGGCTAATTTGGGGCCAGCAGATGACGATGTGAAGGTCCTTGATCCTGTTGAGTTGGAGGTAGAAGGAAAGGCTCAAGACTGCATGGCGGACGACCCTGTCGTGGGTCCAAGGCAGAACAAGTGTGAAGAGACAGCATCGGCAACACAGAAGTCGATTCTTGATCCCTTGCTTAAAAACCCTGGCGGGGTCACTCAGATCTTTAATGATATGCATGGAATTCCGGTTGGGTTAGAGGAAGATCAACCACATGACACAGCTCCTGCTAGTGCTAGCATGAGGCACGCAGCTTGTTTGACTGTTGGTGCTCAAAGATCAGGAGTTACAGATTGGGGAGCTGGAACAGATTGCGGAAGGAGCGGCAAACCTCTAGATGGTGTACCTTACTGTTCACTAGCTGGAGTGTGAACCTAGCTCCCTCCTTTCAAGAAATTATGTTGAAAAGAGATTTCCTTCTATTGATGTAATGGCTATCTGACTTTCCTAATGCAGATGTTCACGTTATTAGGCACTCCACATGATGTCTAGGGCTAAAGCTTTGAGTGTGACAAGATTAGGTCTGATTTAGCCACCTCAATGCCTGTACCGGCATCTGAGCAGTCACACTCATTCAGTTGCAAGTAATGCAAGATTCTCAACGAAAAATAACAGGTGAAGGTAAATGATGTCGTAGCTCGTATCGACAATGTTATTGGAAGATGAAACCCGTCATGGAGTAAAAAATCTAGTATTGGATGTTCTGCAAGGGTACTATCAATCACGACGCTAAAATCATGAAACCAATTGTATGAACAAAATAATGGTAAAGGTACTTCTCCTAGTTATCGCAGAGTCAGCACCTAGTTCGGGAATTCAACTAATCTGATCTCTAATTTCCTACTTCCCAATAGTTGTGCACTCCAAACAAGAAGAATGTACAAGGTATTACCATTTTGCAAATCATATTCTGTGCTCGAGTCTTCAGGAATCTACTTACAAACGACTCTATCCGAGAACAATTATCCAGAACCACGTCAACGATGTCTTCTCCTAGTTCCTGAGTCGGTGCTAGAATCTGAATCAGTGAATACCTCCTTAGGACGGTGTCTGCGGTGACGATGGTGCTGGCTCGAGTGTTTGCTCGATTCCTTGCGGTGGCTCCTACGATGGCTGGAACGATTATCTGGAGTTTCCTTGTAACGTGGGTGGCTGCTATGATGGACAGGAGAGGGAGAGGGAGCGTCTTTACTGCTTTGCCGAGGATGGGAATCCACGGAGTGTTGGTCCTTGTGATTGTGGCCATTCTGACCTACGTAGTAATGCCCTGGACCTTCTTTTTGACGATGTTTTCGGTGGGAGTGCTCCGGGCTATGGTGGTTATTACGACGAGAATGCTCTTCCGACCCGTCTCGCCGCCCATGCCGTCCGTGCCCTGAGCTCTGTTCAGATCTATGGACACTACTTTTGTGGTGACGAGAGCGATGTCTATTGAGAGAAGAATCTCTGTGACCTGCGATCTTGTCATGACGATCCTCTGAATAATCTCTGTATTGTCGGTGTCGGTAGTCGCTGTGACTGCTTATCGTCGTTGATGTCGTAGTGTGAGAGCTTGTGCTAGTGACTGAGACTGAGTCCAATTCCTTGTTGCGACGACGAGGGTGGACGTGATCGAGAGACAACGATCGGCTCATTCGTCTGCGATGGATAGTGATGGCACACTCCTCTTTACGACGATCCTCGTAACTTCCATCTCTGGTGCAATTCGTCTCTGGTGCTACATCTTTCTCAGGTCGCGTGGTGGGCACCAATGGCGCTTCTTCCTTCAGAGTTTCCGGAGCCACCTTCGACAAGTGTTTTTGTGGTAGAGTCTCGATCACTTCGATCTTCACGGGTACGCTGGGAGTTACAACCCCCGTCGTCGGTTTGGAATCTGATATCGGCGTCTTCGGAAGTTGTAACTTGAGGTCAGCTGCTTTAGGTGTCTTGGGAGCTGAGAGGGGATCCGCCCCCGAGGTCTTGGAAAGAAGAGTTGTGTCCGCTCTCGGCGTCTTCGAGAGCAGAGCATCAGATTTTGATGTCTTTAAAGCAGGAAGACCAGACCCATCCGTGGGTTCGCTTACCTTGATTCGAGGCAGGAGCGGTGGCTCTATCTTGTGTTGCTCTGCTACTGCCTTCACAGTGTTGTCATGATGATCCTTCGATTGAAAAGATTTTGTCACTTTCTTCCATCCGGAGCTCCATCCTGACTTTGACTTCGAGCCTCGCGTAAGCTCCTCCACCTGCTGTGTCATCCCAGTGTAGTCGTGTGACATTTCGTGGAATCTCAAAGAGAGGTTTTCCATGTCCATTCGAAGCGCATCTATGACATTGAGGCGGCTCTTAACAGTTTCAATGTCTAGAATTGATTTCCGCAAAGACTCTACCTCGGCAAGTACAAACCTCAGCGTCTCCTTTATTGACAACCCGCCCAGCAACTGAGAACTAACTGTACTGGCGACGCTTGGACTTGCAATGCCAAGATTCAATCCGCTAGCACTGGAAATACTGTTGCAACGCGATTTTGTGGGGACACTGGAGCTGGAGTTCGTACTGCTGGTCGGATCAATGGAAGATTCCGTTCTTGAAGTTGTGGAGGAGAAGCTGGAGAGACCGTTGTCCAATTCTTTGTCGTTGACCACATCGTTTCCTGTCATCGCATTTCGTAGCTTGATTTGCTCGCTAAAGAGCACCTACATCCAGAAATGTTTTTGTGGATAAGATAAGGCGCTTCTTTGCAGAAGTTGATTGACAGAAACCATAAACTCTTGGTAAGCAGAGCTCTCGATAAGAACGAGGGGAGTAACTGATTCAGAAGTTGGAACTTGTGACCGGAACTCAGAGTGCAGGTTGGGTGTCCTACCTGGACGATGACGCGCAGCGGTAGTCGTTCGTTTGAAGCAGCATGCACAGACGCCGCTAGCGAGAGATTTCCCGTGTCGATCACACGGCAAAGCTTCTTCCGCTCCAACTCTGTTAGCGTCGGGTGAGACTAACATTCACAATGAAAAACGGATTAGATCATAACTCAAGACACTGAACCATTTTGAAACAAAAAAACATCTCATAGTATATGGTTTAGGGGATACCCTAAGAAATGTGTCGATAGCTTTATAAAGAGCGTCATCTGAGTCGCGTGGAAATTCTGCGACTAGATCAGCGAGCGAGATAAATCTGCCAAGTGGAATGCTGGAGTCTTTCGCAACCTCTTCGAGGTATGTCTCCAAAAGTTGAGCCACTTTGAAATTCATGGTGGTAAGAGGCAGTTGAAATCTACGACCGGTGGGTCCTTCTGTGACATAAAACTTCTTTTCCAGCTTCACACTTTCGTCACTGGAAAGTGCTGATGAGCTGGTCTCACTGGATGCAATGGAACTCGTTCGACTGTGATCACTTCGAGTGGAAGTGCTAGACGTCTCAGATGATGAACTTACGAAACTTAAGCTGCTGCGTCGTGATGACAAACTTGAGCTGGTTCCGTTGGTGCTAGAGCCTGTGTCGCTGGTCCTGACGCTGCTCGAATCGGAGGCGCTGGAGCCAGAAATGCTGCGAGAACTCGTGCTAATTTCAGTTGTCACGCTGGAGCCACTCGAGTCGCTGGTTGAGACACTTGATAAGCTTCGGAGGCTTGAACTCAAGCTTGTAGTGCTAGTGGTGCCGAAAACGCTTCTAGGACTGAATGGTGGAGAGTTTCCGTAGCTCTGGTCCTGCATTCATTTACAATATCATCAAAAGGTCAGTGCGGTTTTTACGGATGCATGTAATGCAGAAGAAGCATACGAAATCGCCTTAGCTAGATATATTACTGTTGTCCGATTCAAATTTAAGGATCGAGAGCCTGCCTGTAAATAGAATTCTACAATCTGCTGAACAATGTCAACGTCGTAAGTGGATTCTCCGCAGGCTGGAATGAGCAGGTCATCCAACGAAACTTTTTCCAGCTGAGAACCGATCCGTTTCGCCAGGTCAGTCCTGCAGAAGGACCCAGCGTTCACCAAGCACGCGACGCGAAGCAGCTTGAGCAGAAATTTGACCGAAGTAGAATCCGGCTGAGAGGGTATCAAGTTAACAATGCCTTGAACAATGGCTCGATTCTTTGTTTGCGCTTGCTTAGCATCCTTGGCAATAATATCCTGATTGAACCCTGTGAATGCCATGAAACTGGCTTGTAACTCCTCCTTTCGCTTCAACGTTGTGGACATGTCTGAGCCCTTGGTTAGCTGCAGCCATTTCTCGGCGTAGTACTCAATAGCTGCCCCCACCAGTGCCTGGTTCATCCCCTTCAAAATCACGCCATGAATCACCTTACTGAACGTATCAATATCCAGCGAGCAGACATCGTCAAACCACCAGTCGCGCGGCGCCTCCCTGGCGCCCGCTTTGGTGTTAAATGACCACCGGGTTCCCTGAGGATCAGTGCTACATTTCCAAGCGATTGATTCGCTACACCGCCTCACAATCTCCAGATCATCAGCCCAGGGCTTAAGGCTAGAGCATGTCTTAAGCACGGCGATGGAGTCCCGCCATGACCCCATCACGACATAATTCATGTAGTTCTCCGTCTTCGTAACCAAGTTGCCGTCTCCGACATTGTCCAACATTTCGAGATACTCCGCAGCGCAGCGGACAGTCGCGACATTGGATGGGTTAAGCTCGAGCCTCCCGCCATATAAAAAACTAGCGATTAATTCAAAGGCCTCGGCTCCCCCTGGAATGTCCGACAGTGCTATGCGATCCTTCTCCGTATCGCGTGACTCAAACACTAGACGGTTGAGTTTCCCACTCCTCGACAACAGCGGAAACTGTTAAGAAAACAATCCACTCATCAAGACCTCCTCATTTAAACAAACCGACTCAGAAAAATCTCAAATTCCAGCACGAATCGCCCACAAACCTTGTGAAGGAGAAAGTTGCGGTCTCCCACTTCAATCTGCAGATTAATATGCAAGTCCGTCGCGCCACCCCAGGTGTGCACTACGCCGACTGGAGGCGCTTGGCGTCCGTTACGGGAGTGGGAAGATCGCTTCTCTATGAGCGCTTTGACAACCATGTCGTTGTCGATGTCTATGTCTATGTACTTGGCGCTTGCGCTACTCGCTCTACCGCCCGAATTCGAATCCTCGGCAGACTTGCTACTTCTACTCTGACTGGGTGGCATTGCTAATTCTCTGCTCTCTCTAATCATCTCACTTCACTAGCTCTCAATTTCTCTCCTGCTGTCCTCACAATCCATGTATAGTTACAATACGTACAGCAGCACGAATCCTCAACCACACGGGTTGGTTGAGTGAGTGTAAAGGAGGACTGCAACCGTGAATGTTTTGATGTCAGCGTTGGACTGTTTGTTTGTGTTGACCTAGGTGTTCTGAGTTTCTGACTGGGGCCGGATTGATCTCATCAACTACTGCTGATGTAAATGCTCGATGTATCAAGACTATGCGGAGACTTAAAGGTTTGCAAGCATCGCAAAATATGACACCGCCGTCCAAAGCACTACATGCCAAAGTGGTAGAGGGTCTGGCGGAATCTGCCGGGTTCCTAGAGTGGTACTCCAAGTTGACTACAATATGTCTGTCCGAGCCGGAACTTCGCTGTTTTCTTTCCCAAGCATGGAATAGAGCTGTTGGATTTCCTGAGGTTAAAGTGGGTTCACAGGACGCCACGGTCCCTTCTCATCTGGCTTTTCATTTTCATTTTAGTCTCGTCCTAATTCTGGCAATTCCATTGCCATTATGTGGATGGATCTGGAATTCGAGATTGCTTACAGACACGTAATCACACCATTTATGCATCTCGTTCATACGATGAAATTTTCCTTGTCCCGACGCACTCCGTCGAATTTCTTCCAGCATGCAGCCTTAGCTCTCGCGTTCTAAAGGGGCATTACAGGCGGTGATATTCATTCATAGGCCAGGGCTATAATGCATCCTGTCAGTGCCAGCGGTGGAGCCCGCCCCTGGGCAGTTTTGTGCTAAGCCTGTAATTTTCGTTTTATGTTACTTTCAGATCCTTTTTGTTTTCTGAAAATTTTCGGTCCCTTTATTGTTTTCGGAAACGTTTCGGGCCCTTTTCGTTATCTGAATCTTTGCAATCCTTTTTAGTAATTTGATGCCTTGTGGGGCAGAGGGCAGGATAAAGGTATGGAGCTTTGATCTCGGCTACCTTCAGCAGACTTACATAGAGCGAAAACAGACATTGAAAGAGGTGGAGCCCAAAACTGTCCCGCGGCGGGGTCTATCGTTGATAGATTCATTGGTCCTGGCCTCAGTCATATGATACATGAACTTCAACTGTATTCAATTCCTGATACTCATGAAGAAGGTCAGACCAGACCAAGGGGTAAGCTGCCGCATTTGAGTGGTACTTTTCATTTACATCGGGTTGAAGATACTGCTTACATTTTCTGACGACATAGGTTGCTGGAGATGATGCATATATTTTTCCATAGGTACGTTATGATGTGCTGCAGCGCGAAGCTGTTGCTACATCCTTCTCTTCGCTATTAGTGGTGATGAAGCATTGGTGCGGAGAGGAGAATATTTTAAGGTAATATAAATTACCTGTTGCAACAGGAAAAGTAGTATCACTAAAAGGGGAATTAATTCTTAGAAGGAAAGCTGAAGCTGTGTTCCGACCCTGTGCATCCACCACAAATTTTCATCAATTGGACTATGCGATCGTTCAAACTTTTTTGTTTCCTTTGAATGGTCGAATTAACGAAACTCTGCAGATCGTTGTGTAATTAGTTTTCTACCACATCAACATGAAACATAAGCAACTCTAAACACTGTACGTATTTTTAAGCACGTATTTCTGGTATACCACCTTATTAATTTCAGACATTGCTAAATAAATTAAGCTGGTTGCAAGATTACACCCAGATTGTATATGCACTTGTCTCATAAGCACTAAAATTGAAAACTGGACCTTTCTTTTTAATTAATAACCACGACGGTGAATCCGCAGAACTCGTGGAGTCAGCGAAATGTATATCCACTTGATCACTAACAATAGGAAAGGCAAGATATGAGCTGAGAATATGTGTTGGAAACTGGTCAGTTTGGTCAGTTTGGCAAAAGAGATTGGAGGAGGGGTTGAAAGTGGCTCGAAGAATTGCACCATCTGATGGAAACACAAGCTCAGTGCTCTGTAATGCTTTGCCAGCATACCTGCGGGCCAACATTAGCCCTCCAGCTTAGCCTTGCTATTCCTTCTGGTAACTAAATGTGAATGGATTTCATCAGCCCACCTTCACCTTGGATATACTAAAATGGTCGTTGGAAACCCGGATATGCACGACGAGTAAGTTCATAGTTATCTGTAACCTGGCGCCGTCTATAACCTCACCAATTCACTGCAACAAACATGTTCTCATAGATTCCACAGTTTGTTGCACAAAAAGGCATGAAAACGACTTGAAACGCTGGATGTGGCCTATTCGATTCCAATTACCTGCAGTGGAACACGAACATGCGTAAATTTCAAAGGCGGCACAGTCATTCCACCTTCTCAGTAAAAAAACGGTATGACTTTCGAGGTATTTCCGAGCATGCAGAGCCGTTCATCCATTAGCGCATCTTGCATCCACGTGATCAATTGTCCGCAGTCTTGGCTTAAACCACTCACTCTGTTATTTTTATGCGAACTTTCATAATGACACTGGCAATGAAACCCCAATGCAGCCGGATTTTTGGTGGACCCATAGGAGGAATAGGGTTGAATCGTCAGACGCCATGCCTTCCACAGTTCACAAATCCGTCCCTTCAGCAAACCACTAATCCCTGAAGCACCAGAGAGTTCTTCAGAGATCTAAATCTGCCCTCCTTTCTCTACGGAGCCATGGCCACGGCTGTGAGCCAGGTAACGAGCAGCCCGGCGCCCACCCCAATCCCGCAGCACCACCGCAACTCTTTTCCTCCAAATGGCAACATGTAATGCTCGCTTCCCAGTTTTAGGACCCAAGGGAGTAAGAGTCCTACACAATATTGGCATCTTATCTTTAACCGTTGGGATATGTTAAAGGTGTGCCAAGGCAGCAGCTCGTTCCACAGCAAGCCAAATCCAGCCCTTTCTAAATGAACTGGTGGATGCACCTGATGTAACACAGCACCCTCCAGGGCCAGGGTGCACAAACCAGAATGAAACGAATACCACCTGTGGGTAGATTACCGAACAATTTGTGCGTGCAAGCTTGAGCTACTATGTGGACAAGCAAGTGGGGCATTCATGCAACTTGGGTGTGGATTCTAGTAACCAATGACTGAGTGCACATCCTCCGAAGGTGTTGTATGGGAGCAGTGGTGGATCGAGGTCAGAGAGTGCCAGGAACTCATTAAGCTCGCAGTTGGATTCTCAGGGCTGCTCAGACCCCGAGCTCGCCCGCCCTCCTTTCATCGTTTCCCGCGTTTACAAAGCCCAGTCAGCATTTTCCTGCCTAGCTGGCGCATTGGGGGCGCGCTTTTTCTCGCGCCATTATTGCACATGCTGCTTCACCTTTACGTGACCTTTTCCCAGTCCCCCATAAAGTGTTGGGCTACTTTAAAGTGTAAATTTTTGCCTCTGGCGCACCAACATCGTTCTGTTACCACTTATGGATATTTTTTAATGCGAAGAATGATTAAAATTAAAATTTATTCGCTTTGGGGATTTGGTAAGCTGTTTTCTAACGAACTCCACTCTTCATCAATGTCAGAATCTATTCATCATAAAAAAAAACATAATAATAATAATCATAATCATTAATGAGGTATATCCACTCCCATTTTTTTATACAGTTACTCTCTCAATCAATGTTCTTTTAAATTATCAAATATGATATCAGATAATTTTTTTACAAGTTTTTTTACTTTTCTATTTTTGGAACAAGAGTATTGACTAGAGTTTACATGGGGGTTTAGAGGAGATCTGATAAAATTCTACTCATTATAGCCATCTTAATTTCTTGTTACATTAGTAGCAAAAATTCATGTGATAATGAAGAAATTTTGTTACTAAGAATTCCAATTTATTTCTCATTTTGAATAAATCTCCTCTGAACCCCATGTATACTCTAATCCATACTGTTGCTTAAAAATAAGAATAAAAATATTCTAGTTAATAAAATTAAAAGTTTAGGGAGTGAATATGTGGGTATATCAACTCCCTCAAAACAGTCTTTAAAATATTTTCATCCTTATTTATATTTATATTTTTAGTAAGGTGACTGAGGTGCCTTTTTATAGTTTAAGATTTGAGGTACAATCTAGAAATGATAATTTTCTTGTGTTTAAGGAAGTAGGACGACATTCAGTTGATTTTTTAAATAATATTTGGATAAAATTCATATTCTAATTTTTGTAAATTTATGAAGAAATTATAGTATCATACAACGGCATCTTTGTTGATTTTAATTTGATATTTTAGTTATAACATTAATATTCTAAAAACAAAAAAATCCTAAAGTGTTAAAGAACTTAACAATTTGCGCTCAAGAAGCAGTGCTAAACACGAGTTTTCCTTTACAGAAATAAAATATACTAAAGCGAATTTTGAGTTAGCAACACAGATATAAATATTCAAATTAGCTACAAAATGAAGCTGATGATAAAAATAAAATGCTGAAAGCACATTATAATAAATTATGAAAGAAAGAAATAAATCAAATAATATTTTGACACCACAATTAATTTTAAAGAACCAATCATTGCATTTTTAACTTCATGTATTTCTAATAATTGATTTAAAAATTGGTAATAGTTATGACTTTAAAAAACTAAAAGCTTCCAAAAACTTAAAACAATAATTTACTTTAGAACAAACAATAAGTTTTAGACTATTCATTAAACATATCAAATAATAAATTTATAAACTGTTAAAATGTTTAATCTTTGAGCTACTACAATAAATTGAATTTTTATCAATATTATATTAATTCTTGAAATAAAAATTAATAAAATTTAAATTTTTATTAAAAAAATTACTAGATCTTTGATCTTTAAAATTTAAATTTTTATTCAATTTTTTTATTATTATTACACACAAATATTGCTGATAATGATAAAATTAAAAGTACTACTTATTAACATGTCAGCACTTTATAAGAATAAAAAAACAATCTAAAATCCTAACACATTACTATATTTGGTTTCTATTAAATAATCTAAGTTCAATCTATGACATGTTTATACTAAAGCAAGAACCTTAGACCAAAGAACCAATCTATATGATTATCACATTTTACAATTGAAATGGATTTATTGAATTAATTATTAATTTTTTATTATGATTAATAAAACATATTTCTAATATTTGAATATGAAAAAAAAATCTACTATGTATATATATATATATATATATATATATATATATATTTAATAAATAAACCAATCTAAATAATTTATCTATATATACTAAGAATATGAATCTTAAAAAAACATTGTTGTTTTTTATCTTTAAAATTAGTTACTGTATTATATATTGACTAGTTTTGCACCTTAAAAATAAATAATAAAAACGTTAAAATTAAATTGGATACTAGTTAGTTGATAAAGTTTTTATAATTTTTTTAGGTTGGAATAATTTTATATTGTAGAACTAACTACTACTAATAAAAATTTAAGTTATATATAAATATATATATATATATATATATAAATCTTGCAAAATTTATAGGAAGACCAAGGTACTAATTTGTTGTATCTAAATCCAAAATTTTAGACACTTAATTTATTTTGGAGATACAAATAGATCTTGTAGGATGTATGGCCCTATTCTATTTTTATCCATATTTCTAACACCTTATTTATTTTTAGATTATGAGAAGACTTAAGAATTTAAATAAATTCCTTCTACAACCAAATGTATAGTGCATTCTCAAGCTAGATTTTATATAATATGATAGTGGATTAAGAATATCTTGTTCCTCAAACTCTACTTCTTTCTAAGCAAATAAAAAATACTTCATGAGCTCCATATATATCATTAGAGCATGTTCATACTAACTTTGCTAACTCTCAAATCATAAACAAGAAAGTGTAGCCAAAAATTTGTACCATATGTCTCAATAAATGCCTTGAGTGTTGTTAGAGCCCAAATTTAGAAAACCACCTACAAAAATCTTTACTTATGTGGAGTTTTTTACTTGTCAAGTTTTATCTACATTTGAGTATATTGTACTACTACAAATGAAAATAAAGGACAAGGTTTGTGGCACTTGCAAATGGATTGTACAATATTAAATATCAAAGCCATGCCAACTATGAAGAGATAAAATTCTCCAATAAGTGCTAGCAACTAGGGCCACCGCTTTAAACTCCTACCCTTCTAAAACTTTCATAGGCAAGTCCATGTTCTAGTAATCTGTATTGCTGATTGGAAGTCAAACAAGCTTTGTTTTGCTAATTGGTTAGGAAATATTTTCTTCTAAAGCTAAATAGTTACATGAACACCTAACAACTAGAAGTTAGATATCAAGACATGCCTTTGTAGACATGACTATCAATGACAAAGAAAGAAAGTATGATAGACTTTGATGGCATTAAGTTCTTAAGAAATATATTCTTTTCTCAATGTGTGGATAAAGTATCTTATTATAGTTTATTGTTATCACTCATAGAAATTATTTGTTCAATGATTTAAATATTATGGTCATCAACTTGATAACAACCATTAACATATGCTTGATAAAGACCAAGTTGAGTGTTGCAATAGTAAATGACTTAAAGATATCAATTAGATAGAAATGAATTAGTATTATAATATATTATAATTTCAAATTATCATATGAAGATTGAACAAAAAAGTATGAGAAGAAGCCACTATAAGTAAGTAGACCATCATAATGATATTATGTATTGTTTTATCAAATTCTAAATGTATGTTTGTTACCAAAGTAATAATACAAGTGGTTGTAGTAATAAAGTCTATAGTCATAGTCGAGGCAATTTAAATTTTGTAAAAAAAAAATATTTTTATAATTTGAATTAGTAATTATTGAAATGTTTAAAATGATTTTTTTATGAATAAACTAAATCTTTTAAAGTTTAATCAAATCTATTACACACACATGTGTATATATATATTTTTATATATATACTAACAAGAGTTATTAAAACAGTTTAATATACTTACTTTATAAATATTGGAGATTTTTTTCTTCTTTCAATTTCTTAATAGTCTCATTTTTTTTAATCTTAACAATAATTTTTTTAAAAGTTAAAAAAATATATATATTTTAGATATTTGAAAAAGCTGTTTAATTTTTTTTAATAGACTATAATATGTTGGAGTCAAGATTCAACAAAAAAATTCTTATTGCCAAAATTACGCAAATTTGCATTTTAAAAATCATATTGCTAAATCTGTTTATAAACCATAATTATTTTTATAATTTAAATCAATTATTTTAATTATTAAAGTCATATTTTATTATTATTATTGTTATTGATTTTATGCATATTAGATTATTAATAACAATCTTCAAATATGGAAAATAAGTTTAAAGAATAATTACATATAACTTATTTATTTATAAATAGTTAAATATCTCTTTAGCATTAGTAATTCTGCAATTTAATCAATTTTATGGAACTTAAAATTCTTTACCATGGACACACAAATAAGCTGAAACTAAAAGAACTCTTCAAAAACTTTTAGGTACATCTACAATCTTTCACAAAATCTTTAAATCCTTCAAACCTTTAAAACTTTTAATTTTTTTAATTTTTAATTTTTAATTTTTTTTAGAATTTTAAAACTTTATATTTTTTTGTGCATGTGTATTTGTGTATAATAATCTATTTTTAACCTTCTAATGCTATTTTGGTTTAAGAGTCTTTTGAAAACTTAGACAATCTTTAAGTAACTTGTGTGGTCTTTTAGAAGTTTTCATAGATAATCATTCTTAGATTAATAAGATAATTAGTTATCCTTTAAATCGTTTTTTCTTGCATGATGTGAGTATTACAAATTGAAAAAGTTGAGTGATCTTCAATCTTGCTAGAAGTATTTTCGGAACAGTCTAAAATATTGCTTTGGTCTGGATCTTGTGGCCACTTTTACTTCTGATCAATTATCTCATTTTTGTGATATTTCTTAAATTTTAGTGGCTTGTTTAGACAAGTATGTAACATTCCACCTTGTGCATGGATGTTGGCTTTGAAATCATAATTTGAGTTTTTTCTTCCTTTCTCAGGAGATGGTGGTTTGAAATAATTTCTCCACAGTTTTTAACTATTTATTGGTATTTTGCAACCCAAAAAATTGAGTGATAGACCACAATTGAAAGTGAATGACAAAAACAATGAACCAGATTGAAAATATTAATACAGCAAGTGAGAAGCAAAGTATTACATTTTTAGATTCACACTTTTTACCCACTCTTCCTCGTACAAAATCACTTCTCACAATCCCTCACAACATTACTGTCCATTACTGTTCATTTTGCCACATGATAGATGGGCTTTACTTCCCTGTTCAACATTGCTTGGTTTTCTGTGACCTCATGCAGTATTAGGTACAGCAGTTGCTGATAGGATCCATACGAATACTGGTCTCTTTACCAAAAAACAATGTACCCACTCCGAGGTACTCTTTATAATCTATATTTTAAGCCAGAAATTTGACTCTCGCTGGATACTCTTTTCCACACGGCTTCAACTCTAGACAGATATCTTAGAGCGCAAGCTGACTGCAGAAGGCAGCTTAAATGAATGTTTCTATAATCTGTATTCATTGAACATACATGGTTCTACAGGAGTGGTCATTTTCAATAGGTAAGTCTGTATAAAGAACTCTAATGACACACATAACAACCTTGATGGCAGAGTGCTGGAGCATGCCTTAAGTTCGTATAATCTACACAGACTGGACACCAAGTTTTCTGTGTGTCGGACATCTAAAACAAAATGTACATACACCTTAATATAGGATTAATACACATTAGCTGACTACGGAATCAAATCCTAAGATATTGCACACCTTTACACAAACTACGTCACGAAGCACAAAAAGAACGAAAGAGTGGAATCCTCAATGCTACTTTAAAGTACGTGCTGAACACTTTCCCAAAGCAAACTAAATACGTGGCGACCTAGATTAAGAGGGAAGAACGGTTCAAGCTGAACTTTAATGTGTTAACGAGAGTAGGATTATGCCGACCAACAAAACGACGTCCGCAGCCCACAAGGTGATCAATGCGTTGCCGTGTGACTCCTCGAAGTAAAGCATCCCCCAAATTCCGGCAACAATGATCCCACACTGAAACCTGCAGTATTAACATGGACGATCAAACATCTACCAGCCAAGCAATTCCTCTTGCTTAGTGAGGTAATTCTACCTAAAGCATACATTTGCCCAAAAACAAAGATTGTCTACTTAAACTTTACAGTTAGCTACAGGAATTATTTTCAAATCCAAACTAAAATCCTGTACAATCTGAAATTCAGCTACATGTCATTTTAAAAGTGCTGTGCTAGAAGGCTGGAGCAAAATTTAACTACCAGAGCATCAATGCACCGAATGATTTGGAATGAACAAACGATGGAAGGGATCGACGTCAAATTCACTCACAACGGATATGCAACTGAAGAGCCAACGTAAAAGATTGCTACTATGTTCAGCATATTTCCTGAAAGCCAAATATTGGTCGCCAATATACATTTGTCAGAAGCACCGAACTTAGAAATAAGCAATCAATACACATGAAAGCATTAAAATCGTCACAAATATCAGAAGTGTACGAATTTGTACGAACACTAGTTTTTTTTTATATGTAGTCAGAGTCATATAAGTTTCCTAAAATAGAATAATTAAGGGTGTGGCAGTGAACACGGCGAGGTAGCAATTTTTAAAGCAACAGATAGAAAGACCTGGAGAACAAAAGCAGACGACCATGCTATATTCAGTCTGAATGGAATGACACTCGACATGGACATGCCAACTTACCGATGTTGTAAATGAAGCCAGACAAAATTCCCGGTCCGGCTGCTTCCCGAGCAGACAAATCAGGAAGCTCACATCCTGATAAATATGGCAAAGAAGTCACGATAGGGGTGAAGATAGCCACAGCGATCCCAAAGGATGGTAGAAACGCATTACCCTGCAGTAGGTCACGTTTAGTGTTGAATTACAAAACACATAAAAATAATATTCTACCAAGGCAAGGAAAAGAAACCAGTTCCATGGTACAACCTCGATAATGACGTCTAGTAAAAACAAGTAGAGGCAAAGCATGAACTGAAACAACTAAAACTGCCAACGCCATGCATATCTACATGTCCTCGAGTTAAAGAACCTGTGGTCATAAGCCACTTTCAAGAGGATGAGAGGTAAAAATTGCAAGTAGTGTGGGTAAAGCTCACACCTGAGCCATATCAGGTGCCTGATTTGCTGGTATCTGAGACATGAACAAAGAAAAGTCAGTATTAATGCAATAATCAGAGGTTGCAACGTCAACAATATGGTACCAAAATGAAGATGGACGAAGGCTCCAACTCCGGTACTTAGACGCACTATCATCAGAGGACATAAAACCAAGAAAGTATTGCAAAATTGAGTAAGTCGTTCACTACGTATTCACAGGTTGCATTTCTCTCAGATCCTTAGAAGAAAAAAAAAAAAAAAAAAAAAAAAAAAAAATCTAATACTTTTAACTCATTGACATCGTGGGGTATTGGAAACCTGGTCTGCCCAGAGGTCAACACTTTGAAAGTTAAACTACTATATCATTTGAGCTAAAATGAGATCGACAGCTGAGATCGAAAACCAACATGGCAGACAACATAGTGAACTTCAGGATTCTACGGTTGTGTATCAACAGAGTTCCTGAATTATTATTTACATTCGAGTTCCTTTTCTCACCGTTAGAATGTTCAAAATTTCTGACCATTGACATTCGGACGGCTCAGACTATTCTGGGTTAAACCGCCGTGCAGGGGTAGCAACCACCAAAACTGAAAGTTCACTTAGTGTAACTCTTCAGATACAATCAAGCGCCACTAGAAAACGTAGAAGTCGGCAAAAGTCCGTCTCTCACCATAACTAATCCACCCAATATGCCAGCAAGGACTGCCGAAAACACGCCGGCAGGAAAGCTACGTGAGGCAGGTTCTCCAGTCAAAACCTGCACCAGTGTGAACCATATCATTTACTGATGAGCATTTTTACATGAACTTACAATGGTATTCATCTTCACAACCACACGAGAACAACTATCTAACTAAAAGATTGAGAAACTAAAGAATAGTAATAATAATTATAATTGTAAGCAAAAGCAACAATTCGCAATCTAATAGATCTCACATTTTTAGGTCTTTCACCCGACTTGCTCTGCCCTGCGACATCCCATAATTTGCGGTGTTGAACCCAACCTGCAAAGGAAGGCTGCAAAACCACTGGGCTCTAAAGACTTAAACCCTTCTATCTTCAAAATTTGGCACCTTCACAACAGAGTCATCCACTCATACAAGATGCAAATTATTCAAGAAAATTAATCCAGCAGTGTCGAAGGCTTTCGAGTCAAGGTTGGTACCTGAGACTGAATGAGTGTTTGGGTGTGATCATCATCCTCATAAAAATCTTGTGGCTCCCAACTCATTTGGCCTGACCACGCAACTCCTACTGAAAAATCAAGTGTAACTGTTAGGAGGTTTACTGACGAACACGTGCTGTTGTAGTAATTTAGTCTTCAGATTACAGAAGTATTACAACGGATGTAATAATATTATGCAATGAACATAACATGAATAAATAATACTGCAATTCCTACCCAAAATAACAATCATCATAATAATGACAATAAGAATGAGAATGATACTTATTAAGTAATGTCAAATGGTAGAGTTCAGGTGAGTACAAACGCCAATAATTATGACTAGGATAGCCAATCCCGCAAGAGAAAGATTTTTAGTTGTCCCCTCAAATAGTTCACGCGCCATGAACGACACTGCAATAAAATCACAGCTTCTGTTCAGAATCCCAAGATCCCGTCACTATGGTGCTAACTTCTGAGGTTGAAACAGAAGAAAACTATTCTTTTAATTTTGGTGATGCCTGAACGCGTTACTCAATGGTTTCAATCATGAACTACACTAGGAAACGACAACAAAAAAATCTCACCTATGGCGGCAGTACCAGCCCAAATGCCATAAGCAACTGCAATCCAGAGCCCATGATGACAGCGTTAGTGAATCAGTTCCACCCCTCAATTGAATCGGTAGTCAATTCCAAATGATAATTCCATTACAAGTTTGGTCGTTTATAGAAATACGACAGATACAGATGACGATAAACAATGAGTACGAACCTGAGACACCAAGCAGCCGCACAGCCCTGAAAATGTTGATGAAGGAAAGCACGAAGAAAACGCCGCTAAGCAGACCCTCCAACGCGAAGACAAATTTGTATTTGAACAGCAGCAGCAAACTGCTTAGCAGCACCCCCAAACTGTTTGTCACATCATCACAACATTACTGAGTCAGATGCAGCAGCTACTAAGTGACATAATTAATCCATGCGACGTACATGTGATTTACCAAGGGAACCCTAATAAATCAGAGTCCAAATCGCATTCATGCAATTGGGTGTGGCTTATGAACGAAATCACGAGAGAACAGAGCCTATGTCTAAGGACTTCCAACTCTCAAGCCAAGTTCGATATGCTATCGTGTGCTATCCCTTCGGTGTAATTTTTTCATGCATGAGAAAAAACTACTTGACGAATCCCCGTTACGAAGAATCCACTCTATAAGTATTCGTATAAGTCAACGTAAAAGAAGCTCATTTAGCGCTTCTTATTGAGCCTACAGTAGCTCAACGCCAATAAAAACATTAAAGTGATGCATAAAGCTTCAAACTAAAAACAACGCCTACATGGATGTGCAAGCAAGACACATCGCCTTACCCCCGTTAAGATCCACAAGCGAGGTCAGATCTACTGATACGTAATTCGGATAACGATAGGAAGTAAAGAACATACCAAGCCCAGAAGTTGAAGATGAGAGGAGACACGCGGGCGCGTCGAATAGAGCGAGTTTTAGACAAGACGGCGAAGCTACCATTGGCCACAGCCGATAGAATGGCCAAGAAAACGCCAATTGCAATCGCCCTCTCCCCTCCCGTCACCGCAAACTCCGCTTCATCCCACTGTGCGGCTTCCAGAAAGGCCCCTGTCAATCCTAGATCTTTCCTCCACATCGTACCCACGCTGCCGTCGCCCAAACCGATCTCAAAATGCAAAATATAAGAAATAACGATAACCCTAAAATCTTCTTCGTCCCCTCCCAAGACCGACCCTTCTACGATCCACCAACAAATCAAAAACCCAACTTCATTTCACTAGATACAGCCTCCTTCTCTCCACACAACCCGAAATATTCCCCAAAAATTATAAAAAGACTCCTCCAAACTACTAGAATCCTGGCACACACCATGTCAACAAATCCCGAGGCAAAAGTGAGCGGTGGTACGGCATGACACCGCAGTCCGCAGAAAACAGGAAATTCGTCTCAAACAGATGCTGCGCTAAGTTATAAAACCACCATCGGAAGTGAGCCTCGGAAGTGAGGAGGAGCCATCATCCCGAAGCAGAGAAGATCCGGTCAAAGCAGAAGGGGGGTTAGCCAGCTGGAGATGTTAGATGGCCACGTTAGAGTGGATCCACTTGGCATGCCGCGGCGCTGCGTCTGACTGTACCCAAGCCAAGCCTCCTCCTCGGTCCCTCCCTTCCTCCCTCTCTCCGGCGCTGGATGTTAATGCTGGATGATGACGACGCTGGATAATGCGACTGAGTGTGCACATCAGTGCAATGCTGTGTGCAGGGCCGTCGTCGCTCATGGAGATTCTTCGCCTCGCTCGATTGCCCTGCATCTGCGCCGTCGTCGCGTCGGGCCTTCCAGCGCGCGCTCCAGACAAATTCCTTTATCCCGATACCACCCTTTGCGCTGCGTCGCCTCGATGGTAACGGGCCCCAGATGGATGGATGGGTGGATGTGTGGATGGATGTAGGGATGTGTGGATAGATGGATTGGTGGATGTGTTTCATCTTTATGGATGTAGTTCGTCCCATAGTAAATGTGTGTGGATTTTTACAACGATGAATGTCATGGATTTACAAGTGTTTTTGTTTGAAATAAATTTTGAAATACTAAAAATATTTTATTTTAATATTGTTATTAAAAGTATTATGTAGTTATATAAGCTTTTTCTAAGTTTTTGGAATTCTTTAGAAAAAATTATAGGATTTTGTCAATTGTTAGTATTATTATTATTATTGAAAATTTCCTACCAATTTTTATAAAGAAATGTTATAATGACCAACTTTGTGATGGACAACAAGGAGGAACAAGAAAGAATGAGGGGGGACAAAGGAAAACAAGAGGGGTTGGAATGAGAGCTAAAAATAGATAGAGGTGGACAGGGGGTGGAGAAGGCTGGGAACGAAAGGAGCGGAGGCTAGAAATAAGGGAGGTAGAGATGAAGACCATAATTATAATGATGGTTTTTGGAGATGATCCATTTTTCTAATGATGGTTACAATAAGGTAGGTTGATTTAGTAAATAGATGGGTCATTTTAACATTCATTTTTATAGCCATAATATAATATTGTAGATTATTTTATATTTTTACTTCTTTATATAATTTGATTTTAACATTGATTAAGTAAAAGTACATATAATTATAATATATGTAATATATTATAATATTTTATAAAAAAACATGATTAATTAATTTCTACATCTATAACAATAAAGAAATACATATGTAGGCAATAAATATTGTAATGTTGCAATTGTAAGGATAGTAAGACAACAAGATACAACTAAAATTAATACACATGTTATAAATCTATGATCCTAAGAATATTTGATATAATAAAGTTGGTTTTATATTTGAATATGTATAACAACATTGAAAATTTTTTCTTCAAATTTATCCAAATATTAAATAAACATATAGAATCTTCAATATAATGTAATAATATATAATTCTAAATAAAAATTATAAATATTTAAAACTACTATTTATAAAAATATATTTAAATATTTTTATCATCAATTTATAAATTTACTTTTATAGAAAATTAAATTATCAAAATTAAATTATCAAAAAAAAAATTGGATTATTTTTTTTAAAAAAATTATTCTAAAATACATATCTAAATTATGCAAGTAATGAATCAATCAACATTGAAAAATATATAAATATCTATGAAGCCTCCATTTGCTAACATAATAGCTTTCTAAAAGTATAGAATTTCTAAGAAAAATTAGGTTTGCTCTTTAAACTATCTAGAAGAATCTATAGATCTAATCTATATCTAAGTAGTTTTTTTAATGTTTCTTGAAAAAGATATTATCTACCTAAAATCTTTCAATATAATTCTACTTACTTTTTATTTATTTATATTTCCTTAAGTAGTACATGCATCTATTATAATATTTTACTTATGTTTTTTTTGAAAATTATAGATAAAATGATTTTTTAAATAAATATTTATGGATATTTCTAAAACTTTAGTCAATTAAAAATTCTGAAATTTTTGATCTTTTCTCTTTAATCCTAAGCAAAAAGACCATTTTATCAACACAAAAATGTTTAAAATTTGTAAATTAAAGAAACTTTATAAATTAATGTCAGTTAAATATTAAAAATAAATATTTTTTAATTACACATTATAGTCTAAATTTTGTAATATTATAATAAAAATATTAATATTCTTAATGATTAAATTTCTACATTGTAAAACCTGAAAATTCATTATTTAAATTTGAAATATATATTTTTTATAAGGTAAAATAAAATTATAATTATAAAATATAAAAAAATCCTCTTAAACTTCTTGAATCATTTTCTATTTATTAGAATATTTTATAATATATTAAACTTAAAGCTTTATTTGAAGGCATAAAAAAATTATAAATAGTTAAATAAAATTTTCAAATATCTATATAAAATAGATAAATATTTTTATATTTATTAATAATTTTAATTTATATTAAAAAATTATAATACCTTTTAGAAAAGATTCTTAGAAGCTTCATAGACATTGCTTTGACTTTATATGTATTTGTAGTTGATTGATAGGTTAGAAACTTGGCCAACAAATTTACCACGTATTGTTAGCTAACTATGTGGCACATATATAGAAAACTTGCCTTGCAATTAAAATATGTGTCTTGCAAAGTCAACACATTTTGGAGGTCCTGTAGGACATTGCTACATAGCTCGTAGTTAAGAATCTATATGGAAGTAAGAGTGAAGCCTTCTTTATTCTTGTCAACATTTTTTTAGTCCTTAGTCTTGTTTCAAGTCTTTCTGAATCTTTTTATTTTTGGCAATACCTATTCTAGTTCAATATTATATCATCTTTGAGTGATTTTTTAGTTCCTTTCAATGACACAAGAGTGTATTGAGGATTTTCTTTCTTCAAGATTCATGTCTTTGACAGTTTGATAAGAATGCTAACTTAGTATTTCTGTCTCATTTTAGAAGTGAGTGAATTATTCCACTTCTATTGTTTTGATTTGAAAGTTGTGGACTATCCACCTTTAAACAAAAAATTTTGTTTTCTTTTTTTTAGCAATAGCCATTCTAATTAAATATTATACTATTTTTGGATGACTTTCTAGTTCTTTTCAATGATACAAGAGTGTATTGAGGATTTTGTTTCTTTCAGATTCATGTCCTTGACACCTCTTTAATTATCATAGATTAAATTATATTTGAATTATTGATGTTGATTATATCTTTTATGAAATTTTTGTACTTTGGCTTCTTTACTCCACTCAAGTTTGTTTTCACAAGTCAAATATGTAAGTGGAGTTGCAACTTGGAAAAAATTCTTGATGAAGATCCAATAGTAATTGGCAAAGCCCAAAAAGTATTGCTTATTTTTTATTATTCTTAAAATCTTCTAATCCATGATAGTCCCGACCTTCTTTGGATCCATTATTAGCCCTTCATTAGAAATAATGTATCCTAAAAAGTCAACTTGAGTAATATGGAATACATACTTTTTTAATTTGGCATATAATCTTATATCTCTAAATTTTTGTAATACACAATGAATATGAACTTCATACTATTTTATATTCTTAGAGTAAATTAAGATGTCGTCCAAATGACAGATAACAAAATCATGAAGAAACTCACAAAAGACATCATTCATTAGATGTTAAAAAGTAGCTCGTACATTTGTGAGTCCAAAAGACATGACATTATATTCAAAATGCCCATACCTTATTCAAAATGCAATTTTCTATCCATCTCCTTCTTTAATGCATATTAGATTATATGCTCATCGTAGATCTATTTTTGTATAGATCTTTATTTGATTTAGTTGATCAAGCAGTCTCAAAATGAAAGGTAGAAGATACATATTCTTGATGGTGATCTTATTGAGTCTTCAATAGTTCACATACATCAATAGAGATGCCTCTTTTTTCTTCACAAATAAGATAGGAGCCTCGGTCGAAAATTTAAAATGACATATAATATTCTTAGCCAAGTTTTCATCAATGTATTCCTTAAGTGCAACCTTAAGTATTCATTTTGTGATAGGCTATAGATTGGTCTAAATGTTGGTTGAGCTCTTTCATGAAGATCAATGGAACAATCATAAGGACAATGCTTTAAAAGAATATCTACATTCTTCTTTTCAAAAACATCTTGAAAATCTTGATAATTATTAGGAATTCCACTTGGCATCTTTTTACCATCAGAAACGAGTATGGCATATAAAGCAAAAGATAACCTTTCTTTTGCGGTATGTATAAAAACTCTTGCATCTACGAGTAAAGATTTGGATGTATTAGACTTATGCAAAGCTATTCTAAGAGTAGCATCTATAATCTTTTCTTCTATAGATAATATAAAAAAATTAAAAAAATTAAATTAGAGGATGATAATCTATAACATCCAATAAAGATTTTTTCAAAGAAGGATATTCCACTCTCTTCAAGAAAAATATCAATGTTTAAAATTAAGATTTTTTATTTAAAGGTGGATAGTCTATAACCTTTAAAATATAATAATAGAAGTAAAATAATCCACTCACTTCTAAAATAAGACAAAAATAGTAGATTAGTATTCTTATCAAACTATTAAGAATATGAAACTTGAAGAAAAAAAATCCTCAATACACTCTTGTCACTGAAAGAAACTAAAATATCACTCAAAGATGATATAATATTAAATTAGAATGACTATTGCCAAAAATAAGAAGACTAAAAAGTCTTGAAATAAGAATAAAGATTAGAAAGGCATTGACAAGAGTGAAGCCTTCTTCACTCTTGCCTCCATATATACTCTTAACTAAGAGCTACATGGTGATGTCCTATAAGACCTCCAAAACATGTTGACTTTGCAAGATATGTATCTTAACTTGCAAGGGAGGTTTTCTATATGTGTGCCACATAGTTAGCTTGTTTTATAAGCTATCAACATGTAGTTAATTTTTTGACCAAGTTTTTAACCTACCAATCAACTACAAACACATGTAAAATAAAAATAATGTCTATGAAGCTTCTAGGAAGCTTTTCTAGAAGATCTTATGAAATTAATCTACTTTTATCTTCTTTTATCTACTCCTACCTAATTATATAGGTATTTATTAGAGTACCTTTGTATGTCTACGATAACATCATATTTAAACCTTCTTACTCTAAACTTCTTCCTCAAGGCCTAGGTGTTATTGAATCTTAAGGTTTCTTC